AATAACGTCTTGTTCAGCAGCTTAAGGTCCCGGGAAGCTTTTTAATGTGCATTATGACTTGTGTGTATGGTCGGGTTTGATTTTCGGAAGATTCAGAATTAAATTAAAAGAACAATTCTTGTTTTGAAACTTAAATGAAAAAAGTTAACCGGAGTTTGACTTTTGAGAAAATGACTACAGAAGTTTTGATGATTCCAATAGCTTCTTATGATGATTTCTCACTTAGGCGTATGTCCAGATTTGGATTTGGAAGTCCGTAGGACAATTAGGCGCATTTTGGCGAAAATTGGAAAAGTTGAAGTTTTAAAATATTTATAAGTTTGGCCGAAGGTTGAATTGTTGATAACGGGACCAGATTTCGATTCCAAAAATTGGAACATGTCCATTACGTCATTTATGACTTGTGTGCAAAATTTAAAGTTATTCCGGATTGATTTGATACGTTTCGGCGCGAATTATAGAAGTTGGAAGATTTGAACACTTATAATTCGATTTGAGGTGCGATTCATAGTCTCGACGTTGTTTAATGTGGTTTGAGGCCTCGGCTAAGTTCGTATTATATTTTGGGATGTGTTGGTATATTTGGTTAAGGTCCCGACGGCATCGGGTGGATTCGGATGGTTAGCATATCGATTTTTGGACATAAGGAAATGCTAGAATTTTGGACTTGTTGGTGCAATCGCTTCTGCGGAAGCTTGATCGCAGAAGTGACCTCACAAAAGCAAGTTGCGCCTCTCAGAAATGACTGAAGGGAAGCTTGGTAGAGGCTGATCAAGCAGGCCGCAGAAGCGGTAACTTGTGCGCAAAAGCGCATTCCAGCACGAAGAAGTGGAAGCTGGCAGCTTGGTGGTTTCTCGCAGAAGCGGAATTTCTTTCGCACCTGCGACATTGCAGGTGCGACGACAGTGCTCGCAGAAGCGTCGAAAGCGCAGAAGCGTGATTTTTCTCTTAGAAGCGAGCTCACAGGCATGACAAATTTGTCCGCAGAAGCGAAACTGAGCAGAATCATAAGGACCAAAAAATGGTCATTTCATCATTTTCGATTGGAATTTTTGAAGCTTGGTTCTTGGGTGATTTTGAGGATTTCTTCACGACTTCAAATTGGGTAAATGTTATATATCTGAAAGTAATTATATTTCATAAATCCATGGTTATATTCATCGTTTAATTCGAGTCTTAATGGAAGAAATTGGGATTTTTATAAAACTCTTCAAAAACGAAAATTTAAGATTTGGAGGTCGATTTGTTATCGGAATTTCACAAGATTGGTATGGTTGAACTCGTATTGGAATGGGTGTTCTGATTTCGTAAAAATTTTGTCGGGTTCTGAGATGCGCGCCCCGCGTTGACTTTTTAATGTGAAATTTTAAGTCGGCGTTTTATTATCCGGAATGATTTTAAAATTTTAATGAAGTTATATAATTTATTTGGCTAGATTTGAGACGTCCGGAGGTCATTTCAAGCAAGAAGGCTAATTTGGAATATGAGTATAGCTCCAAAAAGGTAAGTATCTTGCCTAACCTTGAGTGGGGGAAATACTCCTTAGGCATTAAGTCGTATGTGCCATTTGTGAAATGTGAAAAGCCGTGTACGCGAGGTGACGAGTACGTACTCAGGTTTATATGTGCAAATTTTATTGGTTTAAAGTCATAGCCATCTTTAAGTATCAAATTGGAAATTGCTGGCACTTATTAATCCTTATTTGTCATGCCTCGTTCTTTGTTTGTCGAAATTGTTTTATATAATAATTTGGTGTGATTGCTACTTTGATTTTTATGTGAATTCTGCGTGCTTGTTGAGTTGACATTTTCTAAAAATAATTACATTATGAATTTTCCATCCGCAATTAATTAATTAAATAAGTTTAATAAGAGGCATTAATATATTTATAAAATATTTGGATTAAAGAAGGCTTTGTACTTGCTGAGTTACTTTTCCATCTTTGTTGTTATTTTCGATATTTTATATATATGGTGTTGAGCCATGGACTATCTGCTATGATATTTATTAATTTCGTTGTATCTTTGGGAAGGTTGTGGCCTACGGGCAATTTTTAAATACGAGTTGATTATGTCGCGTTGTTGTGATAATATTCTGTGTGAATTGTTGTATGATTTGGGTTACTATTATACGGCGTATAAGAGTGGCATCACACTGTTGATATTATGCGGGCATAAGGGTGGCATTTCACTGTTGTTATGTGTGTTGGGATATTGTTTGGGCGGAGTGATAAGGGAGGCTATTAAACAGAGAGATAAGTGAGGCTATTATAAGAGTGATAAGGGTGGCTATTTGATATTTTCAGGGCGGAGGGATAAGGGAGGATATTATAGGAGTGATAAGGGTGGCTATAGGAGAGATAAATGTGGTTATTGTCTGGGAAGTTATGTGATGATGTGGGGTTATTGTTCTCGTGATTTTCACGTGATGTTGTGATTTTTTTGTGATTACTTTTATATCTTGTGCAACTTTTTTTGTTAATTCAATAAATTTGATAATAGTCTGATACATGTTGAAATTATGAGCATGTGGCTATTGCCGGGCGGAATATGTTATTGGCACGTGAGTTGTTCGTGCAATTGTGATGCGAAATATAGGCTCGAGGTGCCGTGTGTATATAATGCTTATGATATTGGCACGTGAGTTATCCGTGTAGTTGTGAAATGAGATGTGGATACGAGTTGCTGTGAGTAAATGATGATTTTATTATTGGCATGTTAGTTGTCAGTGCGGATCTTATATATTGATATTTTGGCACGCGATTTGTCCGTGCGATTGTGATATAAATATGGGCATGAGGTGCCGTAGAAATATGAAAGTGGATTGAGACCCGTGTTGCGAAAATATGAAAGTGGGATGAGACCCATGTTTTATGATTATGAAATGAGGTGTCACAAAGTGACTTTTATTTGAAAGAATTATATTCGAAAGATATTTATTTGAAAGAAGTATATTCGAAAGATATTTATCTGAAAGAATTATATGTGAAAGATTTATATTTGAAGGACTTGATTAATTGTTTGTACTTGTGTTCCTTATTCGTTTGAGTAATAATTATGGTGTTCTTGTTGACTTGCTGCTTATATCACTGGTTGAATTTTGTTGCTATCATGGCTAGTTATTTTTCAGTACTATTGTATATTACTATATTGCACAAGTTATTTGACTAGTGAGTGTCTTGATTGTACCTCGTCATTACTCCACCGAGGTTAGTCTTGATACTTACTAGGTGCCGACCGTGGTATACTCATACTACACTTCTGTATATTTTTGTGCAGAGCCAGGTATTGGAGATATCAGACTCGGACAGAGTTAGTGTGTTGATCACAAGGATTCAAGGTAGAGCTACTTGGTTGTCGCAGTCCCTTGGAGTCTTTACAATGTATTGTACTATCAAATCTTATTCGAACAGTATTATGTATTCCATTCTTGAGATCATGGTATGTATTCGGTTAGAGTTTGTGACTCAGTATTACCAGTCTTGGGAGGTTTTTATAATTGTTTCCGCTTTTGGTTTCGACACTTCTATTAAATTCTATTGCAAAAAAAAAAACCGACTTGAATTGAAATTGTGATCGGCTTACCTAGTCTTAGAGACTAAGTGCCATCACGACGCCTGTGGTGGGATTTTGGGTTGTGACAAGTTGGTATCAGATCTCTAGGTTTATAGGTTCTACGAGTCACGAACGAGTCTAATAGAGTCTTGCGGATCGGTATAGAGACGTTTGTACTTATCTTCGAGAGGCTACAAAACCGTTAAGAAATTTCCACTTCTTTCATTTCTATCGTGCGAAATTTGTTAATTTTGGAGTTTGAGCCTTTGTATCTCTATTCTCTTACAAATGGTGAGGACACGTGCTACCGGGTCAGCTGAGCAGACACTCGCGCATTCTGCTAGGGCTGTAAGAGGCCGTGGAAGGACACGTGTCGCAACTAGCAGAGGCGGATCCAGGATTTAGGGGTTACGGGTGCCAACCCTAATCGATGTGATAAACTCGAGCATCGATTCGGGACTTCGGGGTATATAGACAAATAGATCAAACGAAAGAAAATATAATAACTATAACTAATTGACGCAAAGCATAAAACTTCCAACAATATTTTTAATATCATATACAATCTATTTACAATTGTCCTCAATGAGCTTTCATATTTTGAAAACGATCAATAATGACATCATTACTTACATTTGTAAATACATCACGCTCTATGTAACAAATTAAACAATTATTTAAATATTGATCACCCATGTTGTTCCTCTCTTCATTCTTTATCTGCTTCATGGATGAGAATGCTCTCTCCACAGTTGCGGTAGCAACAGGTAAAATCAGAGTTAACTTCACAAGTAAATAAACATACGAATAAGTCTCCACAAGATTTGTCTCAACCAATGCTTTTGCCAAATCACTAATTCCTTGCAAGTTGGAGAACTTGGTATTGCCAACTCGCATATGAAATATGAAAGTATCTAGTTGATAACTCAAGTCTCGAATGTGTACTTCATCAAACTCATTTGGGTAACATTTTGCTAAAGTCATTATTCTACCTTTATCAAAATTAGCAAAAGAATTGGCTGGATTCAAACTAGCTATCCCAAGAAGAAAATCACTACTCACTACATCAAAACGGTCATTAAGCTCTTGAAGTTGCACATCACTTACAGCATAAAAGATATCAACACGCAAGTGGTGTGAATAACAAATACCAGAAGACTTACGCTTCGACTTTCCAAGAAAATAGGATTCATCCATCTTGGGAATCATAATATCATGCATATGACAAAATGAGGAAACATCATCTAGCAAAGATTCTCATCCAGTTTCCCTCATATCTTGCAATCTTTTCTTTGTAATATTAAGAAACTCCATGGCATTAACAATATCTTGATCTCTCTTTTGTAGGATCTTGTTCAATTCATTTGACATTGCCAAAACTTTCAACATCAAGTGAAGCATAAAAACAAATTTGAATATTATTATCTCACTCAAAAGATATTTTGCTTAATTTCTCTCATTTGAGGTAGAACCTTCATGTTCAATCACTTTAAGCACACGAATAATAGATGAGAAAATAACAATAAAGTTATCTAATGTTTTGAAATGTGATCCCCAATGAGTATCACCTGGTCTTTGAAGCCCGCATTTTTTATTTAGTCCTCGCTCGATATGAATTTCACCGCACTCAAGTAATTGCTCTAGTTTTTTAGCTTGAAGATGGCGAAGCAAATCTCTGCGCTTAAAAGATACTCCAATGACATTCAACACATTAGTAACATGACAAAAGAAGTCTTCGACATCCAAATGCTTCTTAGACATAGCTACAAGTGTTAGTTGCAATTGATGAGCAAAGCAATGAATGTAATATGCCGATGAGCTGTCTTTCATAATCAAAGTCTTAAGACCACTTATCTCTCCCCTCATGTTACTAGTTCCATCATAACCTTGTCCACGTATTTGAGACTGACTTAGTAAGTGGTCCGAAAGCAAAGAGTAGATTTCTTCCTTCAATGAGCATGCTGATGTATCACTAACATGGACAAGACCAACAAATCGCTCTACCACTTCACCATTTTTATCAACATAACGCAAAACAAGAGCCATTTGTTCATTGTGTGAGATATCTTTGGACTCATCAACTAATATACCAAAATAATCTCCATTCAAGTCTCCAATTATAGCCTTTAATGTTTCTTTTGCACAAGCATTGATAATATCCTTTTGGATCATAGGGCAAGTCAAAGTATCATTTTGTGGAGCATTTTCTAATATTACTTTTCCCACATCTGTATGCTTGTCCCCATACAATCGTAAGAATCCTAGAAAGAGGCCTTGATTTGTTGAAGATTCACTTTCATCATGGCCCCTAAAAGGCAATCCATACAACAATAGAAGTCTTGCCACATCAATTGATGCTTCTAAACGCATTCGATACTCACTTTTCAACTTCTCAGAGTGCTTATCAAAAATAACTTGAATTGATTGATGATGATTTGATAAATCTAGCATCTTCTTGAAACATTTATCATGGACACTATTAACATCACCAACATGTAAACGCAATCTTTCAAGACCCTTATTCCAAGCCCTAAAACCATTTTTTGTATAAAATTCACCCACACTTCCATGAATAAATTCATTTTTGAACAAATAACAACATAAGTAAAATGCCGCATCTTTCTTCACACTATACTCCAACCATTTAGAAAATTGACCATTGAACCAACTTGGAACAAATTGACGCATTCTTCCTCCCATTTGAGTTTTGGGAAATTGATGCTTGGAAGGTTGACAAGGACCTTGTTGAATGTAATATTTTCTTACTTCATCTCGTATTCTAGGGTTATAGTCAGCAATAGGTATTCTTTCTCCTGGATCGCCTTTAAGTGACCCCAAATCGAGTTCATTATAAGATAGGAATGATTGGCATTCGCTTGGATCAAGGATTGACAACTAGGACTTGGTTGAGAATGGTCCAACCTCGTGACAAATTTATCCATCTCAATCAATTCCTATAAAATAGAAGTTCATTCTAGTGAGAAATATAGAACAATTTCTACCAGGTCATACCATCAATAAGTTTAGTTATTTTAAATTCTACACTGAAACCATTTAAGAGGCATTTGATTTTTAAATACAACCAAAGAAATACATAACAAAAAAATCAAAATAGTGACAATAAAGTTTAGCAAGAACAATAATATCCAACTAAATACAAAACAAAAACATAGCAAGAACATATATTTGATGCAAAAAAAATAGCCACATAGGGTTAAGAAATAAACACGAGGAGGTGAGGATTGAGGAAACTTTACAATAGTGGGCGTAGTACAATGACTAGTGAGCAATGAATATGTGAAGCATCAAGCATCCACAAAGGTAAAGAAAAATAAATGCTTACAGTAACAGTCTAACAAAGAAGCAAGAAGCAGAAGCAGTGGCGTGAATAAAGGCTGAAGCAACGAGAATTGGAGAAAGGAAAAGAGGAAAGTGGACTTGGGGAATTGGGGCATTGTTTTACCTTTAATTATAAGAGAATATTCTATAAAGAGTACTTTTATTATTATTTTATCTTATTTGTTTATACCTAAACAAACAAACAAACAGAAAAGTAAAACATTTACTATAAAATATAGAAGAGTGTGTTGTGTAGTGTACTTAATTTCCTTAAACAAACAAATAGAAAAGTAAAATATTTACTATAAAATATAGAAGAGTGTGCTATGTAGTGTACTTAATTTCCTTAAATTACAACTGAATGTAAGCCAAAAATTTATTTGCTCCCGCCTGGATTCGAACTCTTGCCTTGCTGAACGAAAAGGCAGACCTTTGCCACTGGCACCTTTGCCACTTTTGTTCTACGGGTGGCACTTTAAATATATATCCTATTTCTTATACATATTTATATTTATACATAAGGTTTTTGCCAAAACTTGCGGGTGGCGTACCACCCCGAACTGTGTACATAGATCCGCCCCTGGCAACTAGAACACCTGTCAGAACATTAGTCGAGGAGCCGACAGTAGCTCCGGTTGGGGGATAGATACCCGAGACACCTGTTGTTACCCTCGGACTTCAGGAGACCTTAGCACAGTTCCTGAACATGTTTGGTACATTAACTCAGGCGGGATTGATCTCCATTTCACCAAATATGTCACAGATCGGGAGAGGAGCTCAGACTCCTACCGCCCATACTCTAGAGCTGCGGGTTTGCATTGGTCAGGTTTCGGGTGTGGTGCCGGTACAACATGTTATTCCTGTTTAGCGTGAGGTCAGTCCAGAGGCATCAGAAGAAGAACAAAAGAGACTTGAGGGATTTAAGAGGTATAGTCCACCTACCTTAAGTGGAACGGCTAGGAGGATGCCTAGGGATTTCTAGAAAAATGTTATTGTATTCTCCGCACCATGGCATTGTGGAAGTGAGCGGAGTTGCCTTTACTATATTTCAGCTGTCAGGAGCAGCGTATCAATAGTGGCAAGTTTATGAAGAGGGTAGACCAGCCGATGTAGTACCACCAACTTGGGCTCAATTTGCAGAAATATTTTTGAAAGAGTTTGTTCCCCAGACTCTATGGGATGCGTGTCGCACAGAGTTTGAACGGTTGCGTCAGGGCACCATGACAGTGTCAGAATATGCTATCAAGTTTAGTGAGTTAGCCCGTCATGCACCTATCTTGGTTCCTACAGTTAGAGAGCGAGTCCGCAAATTCATTGGTGAGCTCGATTATGATATTAAAATATGCATCGCTCGAGAGTTGTAGACTGATATCCCATTTCAGCAAGTAGTAGAGATTGCGAGGATGTTAGAACGTGTTCGAAATAAAGAAAATGAGTGTAAGGAGGCCAAAAGGTCTCAGAATTCTAGAGGATTCAGTGGGTTCTACTCTATATCTATGACTCATCATGGCGGAGGTTCGGGCAATCGGTCAGCCCAGTCCGCAATTTAGAATACTTGTAGTGCTCTAGTTAGTACTTTTAGTGCACCGGCACGAGGTTCTTACAGTGATTATTCCAGTTATCCAGTACAATCTCAGTATGAGCAGTCGCGCCTGCAGAGGGGTTGTTATGAGTGTGGTGATACTAGGCACATCATAAGAGATTGTCCCAGACTTAGGAGAGGTGGATTTCATCAGAACACTCAGGCTACATGCTCTATTCTAGTTACTACCCCACATGTAAAGCTAGTTAGGGGGTAGAGAATAGGTGGGGAGAGGGCGCCCTAGAAGGGGAGGCCCAGCTCGTTGATATAATTGCTATGGTATGGCTGGGGCCGCTACACCAGATGGTGTCATTACAGGTACGACCCCAATTTGTTATAAAGGAATATTTTTCCTTAAATTGATTCGGTTCTGAGTATCGAGGCGAGTCCTCCTATCATGCTCCACTTATGGGCGAGTTTCATAATTTTGTAATCTACTTATGTGTTTACTCTTGTTGGGAGATTCTATGGCGATAACCATGTCTATCATTCTATTTTAGTAACTGATGAGAGCTGTGAGGCTAAGAGTGACTTTCTGTTACTCACTACAATGGGTTTTGATATAATTTAGGGATAATTGATTACAATTTTATGAATTATATGCCCTACTGGTATGAGGGTTCATTATGTGTTGTGAAATCATTTCACGAAATTTATTAAAAAGAAGAAAGAAAAGAAATGGAAAGTTTCAGCTAGCACGATGTGCATAATACTTGTGATTCAGAGCTGAGGATGGGATCCTTGCATTTTAATGTGAATTGATATGTTTAAACCGGCTACGTGTCGTGGTGGAAGTTATATCGAGATAAGATCTTTGTGGTTAAATTCATGTATTGTAAATTCTCCCTTGTGATATTGATTTGCATTATAGTACAGATAAGGGGTTATGCCTATTGGACTTATTTGATAATTTTTTTATGTGTTTATCTGTGCATGTTAGTCATAGTTGTGTCGTGCTTATTGTGCTTTAGCCTACGAATTGTGTGCCCAGATGGCGTTAAATGTGATTCGATGATTAGGGTAAATAATTATGAGGTTTTCATGTTCCCTGCATTGTTATCAGTATTGTGAAGGTTTGAAACAAGGCCTGAACTGAGATGAAATTTAATTGTCGGTGCTGAAGTTGATTATGGGGAGCCATTGTGGCTAGAGTTATTATTATGGGCCTATGTATGATGTGTCATTCTATGTGAATATGCCGTGTGAGTGTAGGCACGAGTTTCTACAGCCGGTTGAGTCTAACACCGTGTGTCAATGTGAAAAAAATCAGGTCTTTTTTAAAATGATTAAAGTGTAAGAAATTTGGTTTTAAGGCTTGTAAGTGTAAACATGAGAAATAATCTCAACTAAAATGGTGTTGTCGGATCCATGTTAAATTGCGGTGCAGTAGAATAAACCGCGAGTATGTGTGCAATGATACACTCAGTCATTTAATGTCCTTAGAAAGATTCTTGGCACGTTCGAGGACGAACGCTTGTTTAAGAGGGGGAGAATGTAACGACCCGACTTGTCATTTTGAGAATTAACATCCCATTCAGTAGCTTAAGGTCCCGAGCAGCTTTTTAATATGTATTATGACTTGCATGTATGGTCGGGTTTGGTTTTCGGAAGATTCAGAATTAAATTGAAAGAACAATTTTTGTTTTGAAACATAAATGAAAAGAACTGACCGGAGTTTGACTTTTGAGAAAATGACTTCGGAATGAAGTTTTGATGATTCCAGTAGCTCCGTATGATGATTTCGGACTTAGGCATATGTCCGAATTTGGATTTGGAAGTCCGTAGGACAATTCGGCGCATTTTGACAAAAATTATAAAAGTTGAAGTTTTAAAATATTTATAAGTTTGGTCGAAGGTTGAATTATTGATAACGAGGTCGGATTTCGATTTCGGAAATTGGAACTGGTCCATTACGTCATTTATGACTTGTGTGGAAAATTTGATGTCATTCCGGATTGATTTGATACGTTTCGGCATAAATTATAGAAGTTGGAAAATTTAAAAACTCATAATTCGATTCGAGGTGTGATTCATAGTTTTGACGTTGTTTAATGTGGTTTGAGGCCTCAACTAAGTTCGTATTTTATTTTGGGACGTGTTGGTATATTTGGTTAAGGTCCCGAGGGCCTCGGGTGGATTTTGGATGGTTAACAGATCGATTTTTGGACTTAAGGAAATGCTGGAATTTTGGACTTGCTGGTGCAATCGCTTCTGCGAAAGCTTGATCGCAAAAGCGAGGTGTTCCTTGCAAAAGCGACTGAAGGGAAGCTGGGCAGAGACTGATGGAGCAGGCCGCAAAAGCGGTAACTTGTGCACTTAAGCGCATTCCAACACGCAGGAGCGGAAGCTGGCATCTTGGTGGTTTCTCGCAGAAGCGGAATTTCTTTCGCACCTTCGACATTGCAAGTGCGGCGATAGTGCTCGCAGAAGCGAGCTCACATGAGCGGAAAATTTATCCGCAGAAGCTGAACTGGGCAGAATCATAAGGATAAAAAAATGGTTATTTCGTCATTTTCGATTGGAATTTTTGGAGCTCGGTTCTTGGGCGATTTTGAGGATTTATTCACGACTTCGACTTGGGTAAGTGTTATATATCTGAAAGTGATTATATTTCATAAATCCATGGTTATATTCATCGTTTTAATTCGAGTTTTAGTATAAGAAATTGAGATTTTTTGTAAAACTCTTCAAAAACGAAAATTTAAGATTTGGAGGTCGATTTCTTATCGAAATTTGACAAGATTGGTATGGTTGAATTCGTATCAGAATGTGTGTTCGGATTTCGTAAAAAGTTTATCAGGTTCCGAGATGCGGGCCCCGCATTGACTTTCGGGTTGACCTTTTAATGTGAAATTTTAAGTCGATGTTTTATTATACGAAATAGTTTCCGATAAATTTTAATGAAGTTATATAATTTATTTGGCTAGATTTGAGCCGTCCGGAGGTCATTTCAAGCGAGAAGACTAATTTAAAATATCGGCATAGCTCCAAAAAGGTAAGTATCTTGCCTAATCTTGAGTGGGGGAAATACCTCTTAGGCATTGAGTCGTATGTGCCATTTGTGAAATGTGAAAATCCATGTACACGAGGTGACGAGTACGTACTCGGGCTTATATGTGCAAATTTTATTGGTTTAAAGTCGTAGGCATTTTAAAGTATTAAATTGGAAATTGCTGGCACTTATTAATCCTTATTTGTCATGCCTCGTTCTTTGTTTGTTGAATTTGTTTTATATGATAATTTGGTGTGATTGCTACTTTGATTTTTATGTGAATTTCGTATGCTTGTTGAGTTGACATTGCCTGAAAATAATTACATTATGGATTTTTCATATGCAAATAATTAATTAAATAAGTTTAAAAAGAGGCATTAATATATTTGTCAAAAATTTGGATTAAAGAAGGAGTTGTTCTTGCTGAGTTACTTTTCCATCCTTGTTGTTGTTTTCGAGATTTTATATATATTGTGTTGAGCCGTGGGCTATCTGTTGTGATATTTATTGATTTCGTTGTATCTTTGGGAAGGTTCTACGGGTAATTTTTCAATACGAGTTAATTATGTTGTGTCGTTGTGATAATATTTTATGTGATTTGGGTTACTCTTATACAACGTATAAGGGTGGCATCTCACTGTTAATATTATGCGGGCATAAGGGTGGCATTTCACTGTTGTTATGTGTGTTGGATATTGTCTGGGTGGAGTGATAAGGGAGGCTATTAAACGGAGCGATAAGGGATGCTATTATAAGAGCGATACAGGTGGCTATGAGAGCGATAAGGGTGGCTATTGATATTGTGAGGGCGGAGGGATAATGGAGGCTATTATAGGAGTGATAAGGGTGGCTATATGAGAGATACGTGTGGCTATTGTCAGGGATATTATGTTATGATGTGGGGTTATTGTGCTGGTGATTTTCACGTGATGTTGTGATTTTCTTGTGATTACTTTTATATCATGTGCAACTTGTTTTGTTAATTCAGTAAATTTGATAATAGTCTGATATATGTTGAAATTATGAGCCTGTAGCTATTGCCGAGCGGAATATGTTATTGGCATGTGAGTTATCCGTGCGGTTGTGATATGAAAGGTAGGCTCGAGGTGCCGTGGATGTATAATGATTATGATATTGGCACGTGAGTTGTCCATGCAATTGTGAAATTAGATTTGGGCACGAGTTGTCGTGAGTAAATGATGATTTTATTATTGGCACGTGAGTTGTCCGTGCAGATCTTATATATTGATATTTTGGCACGTGAATTGTCCGTGCGGTTGTGATATGAAATATAGGCTCGAGGTGCCGTGGGTATATAATGATTATGATATTGGCACGTGAGTTGTCCATGCAGTTGTGAAATGAGATGTGAGCACAACTTGCCGTGAGTAAATGATGATTTTATTTTTGGCACGTGAGTTGTCCGTGCAGATCTTATATATTGATATTTTGGCATGTGGGTTGTGATAGAAATATGGGCACGAGGTGCCGTAAAAATATGAAAGTGGGCTAAGACCCGTGTTTCAAAAATATGAAAGTGGACTGAGATTCGTATTTTATGATTATGAAATGAGGTGTCATAGAGTGACTTTTATTTGAAAGAATTATATTCGAAAGATATTTATTTGAAAGAAGTATATTCGAAAGATATTTATTTGAAAGAAGTATATTCGAAAGATATTTATCTGAAAGAATTATATGTGAAAGATTTATATTTGAAGGACTTGATTAATTATTTTTACTTGTGTTCCTTATTCGTTTGAGCAATAATTATGGTATTCTTGTTGACTTGCTGTTTATATCACTGGTTGAATTTTGTTGTTATCACGGCTAGTTATTTTCTAGTACTATTGTATACTGTTATATTGCACATGTTATTTGACTAGTGAGTGTCTTGATTGTACCTCGCCACTACTCCACCGAAGTTAGTCTTGATACTTACTGGGTGCCGATCGTGGTGTACTCATACTACACTTCTGCACGTTTTTGTGCAGAGTTAGGTATTGGAGATATCAGACTCGGACATAGTTAGTGTGTTGATCGCAAGGATTCAAGGTAGAGCAGCTTGGTCGTCGCAGTCCCTTGGGGTCTTTTCATTTTATTGTACTGTCAACTCTTATTCGAACAATATTGTATATTCGATCCTTGAGATCATTTTATATATTCAGTTAGAGTTCGTGACTCAGTATTATCAGTCTCGGGAGGTTTTTATAATTGTTTCCGCTTTTGGTTTCGATACTTGTATTAAATTCTATTTCAAAAAAAAAAAATAGCTTGAATTGAAATTGTAATCGGCTTACCTAGTTTTATAGACTAAGTGCCATCATTTATTCTCCTTATAAAGAAAGACAAACTAAGCATTATTTGGTTGTTAATCAAATGATAAAATACAGAAATCATAGCCACTAAAATGTTTTTTTAATATATTAATGTCTAATGTATGTATTTTTTATATAATATTTGGTTAGCGAATATAATTAGTTTTTATCGACCGGCCAAATATCTAACTTGTGCTTCTATAATCCCAATCCGCCCAACTCTTCTAACTCAATTAAAACTTGAGTAATTAACTTAAATAATCGCAGAACTTTGACAAATTAGGCCGTGACACGATCTCTTATCTTGACTCTTGACTTGTTAAGATAGGTCATGCCAGACTTTTTGTTTGACCTGATTTGGTCTACTTAAATTTAGTCCAGCCATTTCATTTGTCACTCCTTTATCTATGCAAGAGACGAGGAACTAGCCTACTCGTGCCTTTTTTCAAGATTCAACTTTTGCATTAGGACAATGAACATGAGCCACAGCTTCTTAGATAACGTCGTCCAATTATTATTGGTATTCCTCTGGTTGTTCCCATTTTATGGACAACGCTAGTTACTTATTAGTCCGTCTTAAAAAAAATATTATATTTTTATATTTGTAAATAATTTAACTTTAAATTTATATTTATTTTTAATGATATTTTTTTATAGCCACAAAAAAATTTATGACATGTTTAAGATTAAAGTTTAAAAGTCCTTTATACTTTCTTAAATTGCGTATAGATGCATTCAAACACCGCCACATTAACTGAAACAACAAATTTTGCTCATGCACATGAAAGGTGCTAAAACTTTGAACAATCAACCTCTATTTATCTTTTCTTAAAATTGTCCTTTATAGATATTCCTTCATCTTACTTTTAAAGTTTTACTTAAATGTAAATCAAAAGTAAATGCTGTTTACATTTTTACCAACTATTGCTTCAATCAGCTTGGCTACCAAAATGAGCAAAAACTATGATAATGAAACTAAAAATAATTTCTTAGTAGCTTAGATTTTTATATCTTTTCATTTCACAATTTCATTTTTGGCTCACATTGCAAATTTTCAATGTAGAGTTTACTGGAGTTGGCAAAAAATTCAACAGTGCAAGCTGAGAGAAATATAATTAAGGCGTGTACAAACAAAACAAAAAAAGAAAATCTTCTTTTTACCCCAAAGCTATAAGATGAAAGAAATAGAATTATAGTAATGTTCAAACAAAAAATTTCTTCTTATCTTAGCCCCAAATCTGTACAAACTGAAAATAGGGGCTACTTAAAGCATTTACATGGTGTAAAAAAGAGGAAGAAAATGTTTTAACAAATAATTGGACCAAAGAGGAAGGCAAGTCCCATTCTAACAGAGGTCTCGGGTTTCCTGAGTATGGAGTCGCCTTTGTTAGGGAGCGCTTTACCCCCAATGTGAGACTTCCCGGAGCGAATCCGGATTTAGTCGGGCCCCTATGTGGGTACCGGACACCGGGCGGGAAACCAAAAAAAAAACAGTCCCATACTAACAGAACATTTAGTTTTTGACATTTTCTTAAAAGAAAAAACTTCAGAACAAAATTCTCATCCATTAGGACCCTGTGCTTTATTGGCTCCTCGAGCTCTCGTAGCTTGACGGCATTGTATTTGGGTAACTTAAGTTGTCCTGCATAAATCACGACAAAAACTGTGTCAAGAAAAGAAAAGAAAATTTCCAGCACGAATAAGTTTTGATGACTGCATTACATATACAAAAGTAATAACTATGTGATATTTCATCAAATATCTAACGAAGTTTAGTTTATGGATTTAACATATATACACTGACAGTCTAAAGAAGGTTTACACGCTCAATCAGTAGCGTATCTAGAATAGAATCTATGGGTTAGATCCTATATATTTGTCAAAAATTCATTAAATATGTACAAATAATATTAGATGTGATGTGGTAGATTTTTGAATCTGAACCCATAAAGTTCATATTCAGGATCCACCTCTGCGGTCAGTATATTGTAACATGCTGTAGTAGGTAACTTGGTTTATTGTCCAGGCTACTAATCTCACTTTTTATGGACGAGATACCTGTAGTTACCGTCTCGGTAAACTGACAGTGCA